AATAGGAATCTCATTTGAAGAATGAATTGACAGGTTCAGACACAATTGATTAACACATTCTAACAGACTATTTATGGAAAGTGTATCTACATGTACATATACAGTATACAGAGAATAAGACTGCAAATTATCAGAAGCATGCAAAAACTTGATAAAGGAAATAAAATGAGAGAAAAATCAGGGAAGAAAGATTGACTGAAAATGCATCAAGTAGCATACTGAAGAAGTCAAGAATATGCACAGCATATCTTTGATATACTATGCTCTACAATCATTAAAGTATGCAATTCTCTTAAGGGTTGCATTAGTGAAGGGATCTAAGTCCCTAGAATTGGAGGTGGAGTGCAGTTCCCCAGCGTTGGAATCAAACCTAATTGTCTCCTAAGCATTATGAGTCTAGCACTTCCAAATAATTAGGTGTGCAGTAATAAGAAAGAAAACTGTTCCTAAACAAGATGAAGCACAAACTCTGGATGTCAAAATTACATCTTCACCTTTAGACAGAGAGAGATAGGTAGGATCTAATTACCAAATTACTGAGAGTTACCTGCCTTTGCCCTTTTCCCCTAAAAAAAAGTTGGGGAATGGGACTGGTGGTATGATTAAAATTTAAAAATTTTAAGTTAAAACTGGGTTTACATTCAGAGTACATGTCAGATAAAATACTAGTTCATATAAAAAAAATTACTGTTTTGCTAGTATACCTTCTGTTCTGTTGAATGCAAGAAACTGGCCATTTCTCTTTCAGAACTACCCTATAAACTTCTCAGAAGTTGGTAACTTGGCTAATTTTTACACAAAATTCAACAAATTCTGATTAAAGAACAGTCCAGAATTCACACTGTGGGCATTCCAACTAATAAATTTAGCAACCTTTCCTCTGCTTGTTAATCATACCCCAGGTCTCTCCTGTATAACACTTGCTCTCCATTTTTAATCCATCATCACTCAAAAATATAAAGCTTTATCCTATTTCTCAACTAATAAAATATAATCAAGAATGCCTTGTCGTGGGTTAGGCCATTCCTTCAGCAGACATGTAAAAACCCATTCAGTAGACTGAGGAGGATTGAAACCGGAACCCAACCCTTCCTCAGGAAAATCACCAAAAATTTAATATTTCCTCCATATTGAGTCCTATTTCAAGCCACATCTGGTCTGAAATTGACTAAACTTGTCTCTGTTTCACTAGAAGTCTAACATTCTGTCAGTTGATACCAAAAAATAACCAATAAAACCATGAAAACCACCTAGAACATGCCTTAAGGTCTATTTTAAACCATACACAAGATCTGAGGTTAACCATTCCCATCATGCATTGTGTGGGGCAGGTTTTTTTTTTTTTTGCACTACGCACATGAACGTGCATCTATATTTGGACAGTTTAACCCTTTGAGGGTCCGTGCCGTAGATCTACGGCTAGATGTTGAGGGTCCAAACCGTAGATCTACGCCATGAGCTCAGCTCACTCTGATAAGCTGTGAGCAGTAAATTTGGGCCTAGGTATGAGAGAATACATCTATGTGGTCAGTGTGCACCATATAAAACAAATCCTGCAGCACACAGTGTATAATGAGATAAAAAAAAAACTGAGACCATAATTTTCGATTAACCCTTTCATGAAAGGGTTTCGGACGTACTAGTATGGCTTATACACAACGGTTTTTGACATACTAGTACGCCTAAATTCTAGCGCCCTCAAATCTAGTGAGAGAAAGCTGGTAGGCCTACATATGAAAGAATGGGTCTATGTGGTCAGTGTGCGCAGTATAAAAAAAAAGTCCTGCAGCACACAGTGCGTAATGAGAGAAAAAAACTTTGACCGTGTTTTTGGATTAAAACAGCGACTTTGCACTGTATTTTCATATGGTATTTATTGTTGTATTCTCGTTTTCCTGGTCTCATTTTATAGAATGGAAGACATATTACAGAAATTGAGATGATTTTGACTGGTTTTACAATGAAAAGTACCTTGAAATTGAGCTCAAAGCAGCAGAAATGTTCGATTTTTGCCGAAGTTCAAAAGTAAACAAATCATGCCAAGCGTCCAATACACGTCAACTGGTGAGTCTACTATTCTTTCACAAGTGCGCTGATATTATTTATACCATTTCTACACTAATGCAGTAGTCTGCGTAACAGTAAATCTTCTATTTTTTTGTGAGAATAAAAATTCAAAGTGGAAAGCAAAAGAATGTAAGAGGGGCGTGGGGACATGACTAATGAACAGAAGAAATGTTATTTTAGTGCCAGAAATGTCTTTCTTGTTTATTCTGGACCCTATTTGGAAATTGGCATCTTTTGAAATTTGTGTGAAATTGGCAAAATTGCTAAATTCCGACCACTGTACTGGATAGTTGAAATTGGTAAATGGGTGGTTTCTTGTACTCATTCGATAGAAAACAATGGAATGCCAGCGAAATAGTTATGATTTTTGTCGACTAGTACGCTGGAATTGGCCGAAAATAGGGCTCAAAGTGGGCAAAATCGCCGATGCATAAGCATCGTCGAGACCGCTAACTTCGCGAGAGCATAATTCCGTAAGTTTTCCATCAAATTTCTTACTTTTGGTGTTAATATGATGGGGAAAAGATTCTATCTTTTCAAAAGATTTTTTTTTGTTTTTTGTGCAACCCTGAGAACAAGTCTGGGAGAGGGCCTGGGGACCCTGAAAGGGTTAAAACAGCGACTTTGCAGTGTTTTTTCGTATGTTTTTTTTATAGTTGTATTTGCGATTTCTTGGTCTCATTTGATAGAATGGAAGATGTTACAGAAATGGAGATGATTTTAATTGGTTTTAGTAATGGAAATGGGTTGAAACTGAGCTCAAAATAGCAGAATGTTAAATTTTTGCCAATGTTCAAGAGTAAACAAATGATCCCACACATTCACAAATGTGGTGATATTATTTATACAATTATTACAGTATTGCATAACGGTAAATCATCTATTTTTTGGTTGGAATAAAAATTCATTATGTGAATAAAAAATCAAAATGGAATTCATTTGTAAAGCCTGAAAACATAACTAATGAAGAGAGAAAATGTTAGTTTAGTTCCAGGAATGCCTGCATTGTTTATTCTGAACCCTATTTTGAAATTAGAATATTTTGAACTTTGCATTAAATTGGCCAAATTACCAATTTCCAATCGCTTTATTTTGTATTTGAAACAGTTGACTTGGCGATTTCTTGTGCTCAATGGATAGAATAGAAGTAATACTAGTGAAATAGCTAAGAATTTGACCGACTGGAGTAATATAATTGGCCTAAAATGGGAGTCAAAGTTGGCAAAATTGCCGATGCGTAAATATCGCTGACACATCAAAATTCGTGAGAGCATAATTTCGTCAAATTTCCATCAAATTTCGTACTTTGTTTTATTACCTTCAGAAAAAGGTTCTCTACCATTTCAAAAGAAAAAATAAAAACGTTATTTTTTGAAAATTTTTGGACACTGGTGCGCACTTTGAAATTTTGCCTCTGGACCCTGAAAGGGTTAAGAATGATTGTCCATGGTTTAGGCTGCCCCAATAATTGAAGCAGACCTACCCTTCCTCAGGAACACTGTAAAAAATCTTATACGCATTGGCAATTTCCACTGTTTCGAGGCCTGTCACAGGCCACTGCTAATAAAATTATGGAAGCCACCCTAGGAAATGTCTGTTTTAGCCCAAACACAACATTAGAGGTTAGCTGTTCCCATCATGCACTGCTTCATGTGGGATTTCTTTTATAATGAGCACACCCACAACACAGACCCATTCACATCCAGGCTAAAATTTACTGCTCACGGCACATTTGAGGGCAGTGCAATTAAGGCAAATCTATGTGACACTGGCCTCAGTGACGTAGATGTTCGTGGGAGACAGTGAAGTGGCCAAAGAGATGGGAGAGATGGAATAATATATTCTGTACCACTTTTCAAGACAGGTATAGCCTATAATTATTTTGTTTCAATTTATAATATTTAAAAATGCCCTCTGTAAAGGCTGGACTTTAATTAATTGCTGCACTAGGTTATGGGTTGAAAATGTTAGACCTGTTACAAAAATTTATGAATGTGCTTTGGCACAACCTATTAAGTAAATTAATTATATGAAACCAGGGAATTGAATAAATGATTGGAAATATTCTCTGCTCTAAATTGAGCCTGATTACCTTCCATTCTTCAAGCACTGTGTGACCTCCAACATATTTAACACTTATCACTGAATATAAGCCTTTAAATAAATGCACCTAGCACCATTAGTAACATTTAAATGAATTCTCCAAATAAACAGAGACAACTTTACAATTGACAGATGTGTGCCAATTTTTCACTATTTCTCAGAAGCTGCATAGTGTACAAAAATACAGTACAGTACTTTAAAAAAAGTTTTAAAGTCACTCAAGTAAGGAAAATATGGTATAGATATTGATGTGCTGACTTCAATGCAGATTGTGGAGATTAAACGCAATTATTTTCACCGTACATCTATGCATAAAAGCAGAGAGATTTCTAGGCATCTTTTGAAGGGACTGGAAAAGAAAGTACTTGGGTTACTCTTAAAATGGACTTGCATGACAAAAGAAAAATTTGTGAAGCCAAAATCCCATTTAAAGTGCATTTTGACATGGCCCTTAGATTATGAATGTTAAATACTGTGGTAAGAAAGAAATCAAATGCCACAAGACAACTCATAAAACTCCTTACCTCACTTTTTTTGAGGGGGGTTAGGTATATAAAAAAAAAATCAGTGGCAAAATTATTTTAGAGGTACAGCTAATATTAATTGTTTATTTATAGCTTATACAGTTTAGGGTAATTAGGATGATCAGCTCTGCCAACAACAGTTGTCACAGTTTCGTGATCTTTCATTTTCTCAACAAACTAATGACATGAAAAATCTGCTAAGTTGTAACTCTAATGTAAGAAAATTATCTCCAAAATAGTGTACTTGTACTGAAGTACTGTTCACTAAGAAATATATTGTTTTAACACCCCCTTCCCGATCTTCAGGTTTTTCCACATTACAAAAGATGATGAAGAAACGTACAGAGCAACTGGAGAAATTGCCCCACAAGTGGTTGACCAAGCTGTACGCAAGGCCTTGGTTCTTGATGTGGCACTCACTGGCACCAGACCCACCTGCAAGGTTAGTATGCCAGTAAATTATGTAGTGATTAGTCTGAAGAGATGTTGCAATGCTTGGTGGAGGGGTTTTGGTGTGTAAAAGAACAAGTAAGCAATTGAAAACAGGGAGTGGGGAAGTAGAGTCGAGTTCTTCCACTGTAAGCAGTACATGTGACTAAAATGCTAGCAGCAAAGGGTTAATAATCCTTCCTTGATTATCACCCATTCCCCAAGGTGCAGTATGAGCCCTGTTGGTTTAGTGTTCCTGTCCAATAAAATAAATTATCTTATATCAGTTAATAAGAGTGTACAATGGTACCTTGAGTTACAGACTTAATTCATTCCAGAAGGCTGTTTGAGTGCCGTTACCAAACGAATTTGCTCCTAAAAGGAATACATAGTGTAAATTAGATTAGTCCGTTTCAGACCCTAAAAAATACACTTGCAAAAGCACTTACAAAAATACACTTGCATAATTGTTCGAGTTGGGAGCTGTTCAAAACTCGAGGTACCACTGTATTTTTACGGTTGAGTTGTTTGAATGTGTCTGGGTGTAGTACAGAGAAATGATTGTTAATGTGAATGTTCTGGCACTAAGCAAAATTAAATTAAAGGGTGGGAGAGTTTTAAATGAGGTTAAATAAACAGTATTTGAGAGAACAAGAATTAAAGGAGTAACAGTAATATTAAATCATAACTGTAGAAAGAAAAGCGAGGGTATAAGTTATTAAATTCAAGAATTATGTGGATTAGACTAAAAGTGAAATGAAAAGTGCATTATTTGAAGTGTATATGCACCTGAGGAGAGGGGAGTGCTGAGGAGAAAGAAGTATTGAAAGGTGTTGAACAAATGTTTAGGGAGTCTTGAACCAAGTTAGAGAGTAATGTGGTGATTCAAATGCTAAAGTGGTAAAAACTTGAAGATGGCATAGTTGGTTACCTTGGTAAAAGTGTCAGGGGTAAATGATAATGGGAACCTCTAACTGAATTATGTATAGAAGCTTCTATGGTACTATGTAATACTTGACATTATTTTAAGAAAGTGGATATGATACAGTATAATGTGCAATGACAGCAGTATGTTAGGCCTATGTATTGGCATATGAAAGGTTCTAGAGGAGCACCATATGTCGGATCCTTATTTAGTGGTAGCTGTAGTAAGAGTAAGCAGTAGATGGGGTACAAGGAGAATGGCATGAATGGGTAAAAGATAATTGAAAGTGAAGGAACTAGAGGAAGGTATTAGGAGAAAGGTGTGCTAGATGGAGTACAGGTAATAACGAGGTTGAAGATGTATGTGGTAGATTTAAAAAAGCAGTGCTAGAGTTCATGTGCATAGTGGGAAGGTACAGTTGGGAAGAGGGATGAGTGGTGGAATGATACGGTAAGTAGTGGTAAGGTAGAAAAAGTTAGCATATGAGAGGTTATTACAGTGTTATGATATACAAAATGTAGAGTATGCGGAGAGAAAAAACAGTGAATGCAAAAGGAAAGCAAATGAAAGAAATTACCAATAAATTTTGCTGAAAATAAGAAATGGTTTTGGATGGAGATTAATAAACTGAGCAAGCCTGGGTAGCAAATGAATTGAGCAGTTAATATAAAAGGGAAGATGTTAGAATTGGAAGGAGCTGGAATGTTGGAGGGGATATTTTGAAGAACTGTTTAATGTTGAAAAGAGGCACTGGATCCATGCATTGGACATTGAGAAATAATATCTTAACAGGAGTAAGGGAGAGCCAGATATAAGTGTGAGGGAAGTGCATGAGGCAGAGGTTAGAATGAGGGTGTAAAGCAGCTGGGACAGATGGGTTTAACATATGTTAATAGCAAGTGTGGATATAGTTTTGGAATGATTGATGCATTTGTTCAATATGTGCATGGAAGAAGCAAGGGTACTTAAGGATTGGCAGTGAGCAAGCATAGTGCTTGTATATAAGGGGGAAAGGGAACAAACCTTCTTGGACATCAAACAGATTTGTGTAGCCTTCTTGGATATCAGACAGGCTTGTGTAGTCTTCTTGAACATCAAACAGGGTTGTGTGAGCATGTCAGATATTAATGGAGGTAAGTGGTTTTTATGATTTAACATGCTGTTGGGGTAAGCAAGGTAACAGGAAGGACTTTAAGGGAAAACTGGTTAGCTAGGCCTAGTCCTGTAAGTGGAAGGTACAGTGCTTTCACTCTGAAGGAGGGGTAAGTGTATTTGTTTGAGGGTCATCTGAACTGTGATTTCAGTATGCTTCTGAAAGACAGCAACTAAATGATAATGGTGAAAGTGTTTTTTACCACACTGGCCATCTCAATGGTAGATGGCTATTGTATTAAAAAAAAAAAACTTTGAGTATACTGGGTGAAGTGTATGGTATAATTACTACTGAAGGAGTTATGGATAAGAGAGAAAGTAAAATTGAAGAGAAAAAAGGTATTTGAGAAGGGCAAGGAATGTGTAGACCAAGTATTTACATTAAAGCATATAAGTGAACTATAATTAGATAAAGATAAGGAACTGTTTGTTGCATTAACCCTTTCAGTGCTGTGACCTCTGCTTGCAAACTTGCTCCCAGGGTTGAAGAATTTAAAAAAAAAAAGTTATGAAATGATAGAGAATCTTTTTGGAAGGTAAAGAAACCAATAGTACGAAATTTGATGGGAGACCTACAGAATTATGCTCTCACGAAGTTAGCAGTCACGCTGATATTTACACTTTGGCAATTTCACCCACTTTACTCTATTTTTGGCCAATTCCATTGTTCCAGTTGACCAAACTCATAGCTATTTCACTAGTATTCCTTCTATTCTATCGAATGAGTACAAGAAACTGCCCATTTACCCATTTCAACTACCCAGTAAAGTTACCAGAAATTCGTAATTTGGCCAATTTCACACAAAATTCAACAATTGCCAGTTTGAAAATAGGGCCCAGAATAAACAATGTAGACATCCCTGGCAATACATAAACATTTCATCTGCTCCCTAGTCACATTTCCAGGAACCTCTTATATTACCCTTGCTTTTCATTTTGAATTTTTATTCATACACACACACAAAAAAATTACTTTTATGCAGACTGCTGCATTATTGTAATAATTGTATAAATAATGTCAGTGCATTCCTAAATGCCAGTTGGATGCGTATTGGACAAGTGACGTCATTTGTGTAATCTAGAATATTGGCAAAAATTGAGCATTTCTGCTACTTTGAGCTCAATTTCAAGCTACTTTTAGTACTGAAACTAATCATAATCATTTCTATTTCTGCAGTATATCTTCCATTTTATCAAGTGGGACCAAGAAACTTAGAATACAACCATACAAAAATACACCGCAAAGTTCCTGTTTTAAACCAAAAACAGTCGCAGTTTTTTCCTCATTATGCACCACATGCTGCAGGATTTTTTTTTTTATATGATGCACACTTACTGCATAGACCCATTCTCTCATATCTAGACCCAGGTTTACCTCTCACAGCTTATCTGAGTGAGCTGAGCTCATGGCATCACACTACTGGACCAACACTGGTTTTAAAGCCGTGATACAACGGGACTGACACTGAAAGGGTTAGTGGGTTAAGAAAAAGGCATATGATAGGGTGGATAGGGGAGCAGTGCAGCATAAGTTACAAATCTATGGTTTAGGGAGTAGGTTATTACAAGCTGGAAAGAGTTTTTATGCAGATAGTGAAGTTCAGGTTAGGATATGTATGGGAGAGGGGGACTGTTTTCCCAGTAAAGGTGACCTTAGACAGGAAGGTGTGATGTTATCATGGTTAGCATGTTTATAGAGTGGGTTGTAAAACTAGTGAATATAAATGTTGAGAGAGGCATGGGATTAAAAGATAATGAATCTGATACAGAGTTGGAGTTATCACAAAAATCCATGAAATATTCACACTACTTACCTCTTCTGTCTTACTCTCACATGCCTGCAGGATATTAGTAGTTACCACTCACCTCTCAGCCTTTCTTCAGGGATTCAGTACACCACCATCCATCCACACAAGCTTTATAGAATTTCATTCACCCTATTCACTATTATTTTAGGGGCTTGGTAAAACATGTTGCTTATATACCATTAGCAGTATAAATTATAAAATTTTATTCAATTATATTCCTCTTTTCAGGAATTCTTGAAAGGAATATGTAATATGCAGAATTGCCGCTTTCGACATCTGAGTCAACGTGAATATGAAGATGAAGTCTTTCATGCTTTACAAGATGAATTGGAGATGGTTTTGGGGCCTCCAGAGAGACGGCAATCACCTCCCTCCCGAACAGTCTTCAGTTCCCTGAGCAGTTACCTTGACCCACCCAAGTATAGCACACCACCAGTAGGTGATTACCGTGATGATTTACTGATGTCTGATGACTTGCGCACCACTCTTTTGTCTCGTTCTGATTATGAACCAGGAGCCAAGAGGCCCAGGTATTTTGATGAACCATTATTCTCAGCAAGAGACGATTATGGGGATAACCCAAGGAGGTGGGATGACAGAATGGATTATGACAGAGATAGACTTGACCGAGGCATACTTGATCGTGACAGACTTGACAGAGACAGACTTGATTTAAATTTAACTGAAACAGAGAGGATGATGCAAGAATTGTATAATCTGAGAAATGATAATTTAGATCTCAGGAGGAATTTAGAACAAAAGATTGGTGACCTTAGAGAGGAACTCAACACTGTCATGCAAGAAAATGTAGGCCTTAGACATGAGAATACAAAACTCCGAGCTGCTGCTAATGAAGATGCCTTAACACACAAAGCAGCCATAGAAAAGCTTACTCTGGCAAATAGTAATTTATCTCAAGAAAGTAGAAAGACTCAAGAAGCTGTTCGTCGACTGGAGCATGAGAACAATGAGATAAGGAAAGCTTTGGATGTTAAACAAAAAACTAATAATGCTCAGTTGGAGAAGAAATTAGATGCCTTAGAAAAGGAAAATATCCAAGTTCGAGATTCACTGAATAAAGTTAATGCTACCTTGAAAAAGACTCAAGAAGACAAAGGAAAACTGGAAACAGAGCTGGAAGAATTGAAGATAAAGTCACGTAACCAACCAGCTACAGCGAGGAAAGATGGACACCAAAATAGCAATCCTGGCTATAATCAAAGAAATGACTACTCCAGAGACTCGGTAAGAAATTTTTTATTTATTGTGTAATGAATGCTTTTGAATAGACATTAGGTGCTTCAAACTTGAAAATAAGAAAATGTATTGGCATAACAGTTACTGGTTATTTATGTTTGTAATGAAAATTATTGAAAACAGTATTTCAATAGTAGTTGTCAGGGATGGGTATAAATAAGATTATTATTTATTTTGAGACTCGTTAAAATGTGAAATAAGTTTACAGCTTGTAATCCTAATCTTTTACATGAATAAAAACCATTGCATTACTGGTTCACATGTTTTTATTTAATCTTTATTTCAACAGGTGGCCAAAGGTCGACCACAGACAGGACCTACAGATACCTTTCATGATGACAGGAGAGAACAGGATGTGCGAGGAAGTGGAAATGCTCGGGGTTCAGATAGGTATGGCTCAGATAAATGGGTATCAGAAACTAAGGTCCAATACAACCAGGGTTATTCTACAAGGGGATCGGACACTCGGGGAGCAGATGCACAAGGACCAAATGTATGGTCCGATGCAGACCGCTCTCGTAATTGGCCAGCTGGAGGTCCAGCACAAACTTGGGGAACGTCTCTCAAAAACCAAACCCCCTCTGCTCCACTATCAGATAGTGGCCCTTCCAGATCTCAGGGTCTTCTAGGAGAATATAAGCCCGTTGACGACCGTATGAGATCTCAGACTTCTTCCCTTCAACGTGGAACTGCTTATCCACCAACTCTAGTACCCCCTCCATTATCAAACATGCCAGACTATAGTGATCAGTCTCTCTCACAGGGACCTTCACGAGGTTTTAAAGATCCACTTGCAACAGGGGGCCAGTATTCAGCTCAGGGCACTTCCCAATATTCAACTCAAAACACTCCCCAGTATTCTACTCAGAACACTTCACGCTTTGAAGGACGAGATTATGGCCTGTCAGGATACGACAGTGAAAATAGGAACCAGTACGGGAGTGCATCGCGACCTCTGTCTACCAGTTCACATTGGCAGGTTGGAGGGGGAGCTGATAATGGAGAGACTGGAAGAGGAATGGGACAGACATGGAACCGTAGAGGGAAGCCAATGTCCAATTACTAATCAGAAAATCACCGAGTGCTGAATTTACCTTGTAAATATTCACTTAGGATTAAATTCTTAACCAAATTTCAAGTTAAATATTGACGTATACCAAGAGTCACAAAAAATGATTTGGTATATTACATTGAAGTTTTATTGTACTGTACATGCAAGATTGGTGCATGATTGAAAAAGCTTTGACTAGCTAATTTTATGCTAAAAACTTACCACTGACCAAGCATCTTTGTTGTAAATGTTGTACTGATGCTAATTTGAACTCTGTGGACACAGCCTACATCAGCCTATCTGTCAGCACAAACTTTGTTTAATGAAATGCCCTACCCCCTTTCACTTCCCCATGCTTTTTAATTAAAACAAATTATGTAATTTATGACAGCTAGTTTTGCACTTTGTTCAATTAATAGGTTTATTTTTACTTTTTTACTTTTTCATATGAAGCGCTCCCTGCATATAATTGGTGCTAATTTTAAAAAACTGAATCATCATTGGCTAATGGAGTTGCGTTCAAATCCTGTGCTCCCATTAGCTCAAAGAGCTGAGCTAAATGCCTACTTGATGTCTCGTAGAATTTTCTGCTCCAAAGATGCGTGAGCTATTTAGGTCAAGAATGTCATTATTTTTAATGCAAATTTACTTTAAATATTGGCACCACTAGACAAGGAGGAACAAACGAAACAACTAAAAAGAATACATTTTCGAAATGAATGTGTTACCAGTTCAGGTGGTGCTTGCTTAGTTAATGCAGGGAGCACCTCGTATTGTCAACAGTTAACTTGATTGTCATTTTATTAATTGCAGCTGGCAGAATATAAAATGCCTTGCACATAGATAATAAATTTACATTTTCTGTGGTCTGTTGTGCACTGATGTAGCACATTAATCTAGTTTAAAGTATATGCCCTAGAGAGCTTGCTATTATAATTTTAATTTGAAATATTCATGCAGTCCCTTTCTTTTATATAGAGGTAAGGGCAACATAAAGGTGTAGCAATCCATGAAATGTTAATTTTTTATTCATTTAGAAGTATAATAATAAATCAAGTATGTTACTGTGCAGTTAAATAAAATTAGCACTTTCAGTTGATTTAACAAAAATGATTTAAGTGTTTTTTTTTTTTTGGTTTTGTAGTTTTAATTAAGTAGAAAATTATAGTTTAGAAGCGCTACAGCTTTAGTTCATCTCGTATTCACATTTTCAGTATACATGTATTTTCCTCCACTTGCCTAGAACTTGAAAGAAATCTAAAAATAATTTCATATGTATCAATACTCTAATTTTGTATAGCTGGAAGATTAAAAGTCATTGGCTTCATAAAGTGAATTGAGAATTAAATGTGACAATTATGTTTAGAAAAAAAAAAAAAGCTTCAAAATACATTTGGTTAAAACCATAATGTTGCTGTTTAGTGTTTAGATAATAGTATTTGTCAACAGATTATGAGATGAGGATATTTACAAGTATTTAAAGGTTGTAAATTATAAGGAGTAATGAGTTCCATTACTAGACTGTACAAGTAAGTATAAGGTGGACTGATCACAAGGTGTGAGTTTACAATTGCTTTAGTAGCCAAAGATGGCGTAGTGTTTGTTAGACTGTTGAAGCTTCCTAGGCCATTAGCTGAGCTGTATTTGCAGCCATATGTCAAGTGTTTCTTTAAGTGTATTGGAATAAATGTGTTTAGATTATAAGTATTACATAGTGTGATTTCACCCATTTTTTATTATTGCAATTACAATATATTTATGACAAAAGTCCTCTTCAAGGGGGGGCTCCTTGGCGTGGTGAAGAGGCTCTTGGTCTGAGGAATTAGACCTATTGGTCTCCTTCATCAGACCGAACCTAATTACCCCCCAATCCCCCCTTCCCTCTCCCATCTTCCCCTTTTTCCTTTCCTCCTCCTCCTCCTCCTCCTCCTCCCCACCCCTCCCTTTTGCCCTTCCTTTTTGGCCTTTGGGATTTTTTCCCACAGGCGCGCTAGTTCCTAGGTAGGGTAATGGGTACCGGGGTCCAACCCATTCCGTTGAGGTGCTTGGCGGTGGCGTAGTTGGCCATGGAATCTGGATTGCCTGGAGATGTCCCAATCCCTCTCCGGTATCCCGGAGGGTGGCTTTGGGTGTCTTTCGGGCGATGGGTGCATCTCTGGAAGCCACCTTTCGGATTCCGGGGGTGGTGGCCGAAGGAGGTATGCTTTGTGCGGATATCTGGCCACCCTCTCTTTTGTCCACCGAGGTAGCTCGGCAGATGTGAGGTTGCTATCCCGGATTGCTGGTTTACTGGAATGATGGGTAGGGTATGGCACGGGTTCCATGCTGCATCTGCGCTACTTGCAGTGCTGAGGTCCTCTTGGGCGCGGAGGGAGATTTCTGGCACTTTCATTCCTCCTAGGAACTATCCCTCCCCGGTCCCCCCCCCCCTTTTTTTTCTTTTCTTTCTTTTTTTTTCTTAAAAACAAAAAGAAAGAAGTAACCTAACCATGGAGTACCCGATCCATGACCCCGCTACCCCCGGGCCCCTTATTGTTACCGCACCCCGTTCTGACCTCACCTCGTCTATTGGCCACTCTTCGGACATTCCTAAGGCCCCTGTACCTCTTGCTGGTGCTGTTTCCTCACCCGCTTCAGGTACCGGGGCTTCCACTGACTCCTTCGATTTGTCTGACCTCTCTCCTTTGACTATGCTTCCGGCTTCTCCCTCTATGGTGCGGCGATTTTTGAATCTGGCCCGTCCCACGTCGGACCGACTCTGGTCCCACTTCTAAACATCAACGACAATCTCCTAATGATGTTACTTCGTTACCTTCCCTTTCTACTCGGAAAAGACTGACACGTCATGCACTCCCTCTCCACACTCAGTTTCAGACCACACAATGGACTAAATTCTTTACATTAAGACCGACTTCTACTGCCTATCTTTCTGACCATAGTATTGGCAAAACGCTCCTACGCCATGTTGGTAGAGATATTTCCTTTCATGCTTTTAAGAGTGGTACGTGCATCATCACAGTCCAGAATTCTACCCAAGCTCATGATCTTTCTCTTCTTTCACATATCAATACTATTCCTATCACTATCGAAAAACATTCCCTCAATTCTTGTAGTGGTACTGTTATTCTGCCCCATACCATAGTCCAACAGAATTTCCAGACATGTGACACTGACATTCTCGAACAGCTTGAACTCCAAGATCTCCCAATTCTCAAGGTAGACACTTATGTTCTTCCTGCCCGCGGGCGAAGACGATACCCTTGCTATGCGGCTCGTTTAACTTTTGACAGCCGTGAACTCCTATCCTCTGTTTATGTAGCAGGACATCGGTTACAAGTTCGGAAGGTGATCCCTACACCGCAACAGTGTAGGAATTGCTGGCGATTTGGCCACCCAGCAAAATATTGCAGATCTATAGCCGAATGCCCAGTCTGTGGTGCCGATGACCATTCTAATACGTCTTGCAGTCGAACTCCCTCTTGCCTTAACTGTCATGAGGCTCACCCTTCGTACTCTCGCCGTTGCCAAGTCTACTTAAATGAGCGGGAAATTCGTTGCCTCAAAGAGGCAGAAGGTTTCCCTTATGCTATGGCGGTTTCTCATCTCCGCCTCCAATGGAGACTGCCCTGTGTTTCTTATTCTTGTTTCAAAGCGTCCCCCCACTTCTGGGGTCACATCTTCTGCAGCATCCTCTGCGGTTGCCAGTCCCATAGTCACTCCTGTATCTAATTCTTTTGCTGTCCTGGGCTCAGACGTCCCTACTTCAACTCCTCAGTCTGTCCTCACTTCTTCGTGTCCTCCCTCACAAACCCCGGTATCGACAAGACCTCGTACGACACCTCCCAATCGTCCCTCTACTTCTCAGAGGCCCAAAAAACTCCTTTAACCCTTTGAGGGTCGACAGGCCCTCTCCGAAACTCGTTCTCAGGGTCGGCCAAATTTCAAAAAAAAAAAAAATTATTTTTTCTTATGAAAAAATAGAGTTTTTTTTTCTAAACATTATAGGATAAACAAAAAAAATTTACCATCAATACTTACGGAGATATGGATGCATGAAGTTTGCAGAAAATGAGCCGCGTATGGCAACAGCGGCGACTGCCGCTCACCCGGTAAACTTTAGTTTACTTGTATTTGAAGGTTTGTTGTTTTTTTCACTATTTTATTTTTTCACATAACTTATGTGGCCTGTGAGACCAAAGTAAGGTGCAATGTACATATATACACTCGTTGTATACAACACAATAAGCACACAAACATAATTATCAATATATTGTTTACAAAACTTGTTTACAAAAACAAACAATACAAAACATTGTTTATTATTATTGTTCTATAATATATATACCAATATACAGTCACTGAACATATTCCTATTAGTTCTGCAGCTTGTGGAACTCTGAAACATGGTGTCATACACAATGGTGTTTTATCTTTCTCCCTCATTCTATCTCTTTCAATCTGTCTCTCTCTTTCTATCTGTCTGTCTATCTCTGTCTCACAGGTACACATAAATACAAGAATACATGGTATAAATTACCTAGGATAACCCAAGAAACCCAGACAAAGTGCTATACTCTGCTTGAAGATGTGAGTAAAAGTGATGACGCAGTCTTGTGGCTCTCTGAGACAGAGAGCTAGATGGATAGACAGGGAGCTTGACAGACAGGCAAATAGACAGACAGAAATGTTAGTATACCAGCAAAAACAAAGGGAGGGCGATGTTCATCTCATCTTTTGGCATCAGCTCTACCCTCATTTACCCTCATCAAACGTCAGCACTTATCAGATGTTATCTCCCCTTATCTTGTTACTGTCATGGGTGAACATTTATTATTACATATTATTATTATTACCTATTATTATTATTATGTATTATTATTATTATTATTATTATTATTATTATGTATTATTATTATTATGTATTATTATTATGTATTATTGTTATCATTACGTATTCTTCTTCTTCCTCCTCCTCCTCTTCCTCCTCCTCCTCTTCTTCCTCCTCCTCCTCCTCTTCTTCTTCCTCCTCCTCCTCCTCCTCCTCCTCCTCCTCCTCTTGCCTCCTCCTCCTCTTGCCTCCTCCTCCTCTTGCCTCCTCCTCCTCTTGCCTCCTCCTCCTCTGCCTCCTCCTCCTCCTCCTCCTCCATTCTTGGAACAAGTTTGAAGAGCTTGTAGTTCATAATCACTATCATTATCATCACCAATGCTCACATCTGAGTCTGGGATTTTGGGAAATAGGAGTTTCCTCTTTGATTCTGGTACAACTGAACGATGGCCCAGCACCAGAGGTGGAAGGCTGTGGGTTGTCTGGGTTTTCCTCACTATTACCCATATTATGGTCATTAGTTTCGGTCAAAACCTCACCAGAACCTTGAAACTCATCTTCACTGTCACTTCCATCTGTATTAGAACTGTCACTGGGGAACAAAAGTGTCCCAATTCGCCGAGGAGTGAGGAACTTCTTACCACAGGGCACGGTGGAAATTGTGTACTATGATGGCATTCCCACAATGCACCACTGGGTCCCAGATTTTTTTCCTACTGCGCACACCCACCACACAGACCCATTCTCTCACATCTAGGCTTATCAGCCTTTTCCTGTGAGATTTGAGGCCGCTAGAATTTATGCGTACTAGTACGACAAAAACCCCTACGCGTAAGACGTACTAGTACGACGAAAACCCTCAAAGGGTTAACCCCTCCTTCCCTTCATCCACTTCCACATTTTACCTTCCCGGTCTCTGTACCTGAGTCTTCCCCTTTCACTGGCTCTGTTACAAGTGTGGAGGTTCATCCTCCTCCTCGTACTGTGCCTTCCTCCCCTGTCCCCTCCCAAGTTTCTTCATCTTCTGCCACCTCCCAGGTTTCTGCCACTTCTGTCCCCTCCCACACTTCTCCAGTTCCCTCCACCCTTTCGCCCCCTCCCCCTCCCACCTTGGTACAGTCCATTACAGCTCCGATCTTTACTCAAACTCCTCCTCCTTCCATCTCCAATATTGTCTCCCATACGACGTCTCTGAACTCCGAAACACTTGAAACAATCTCTGAATATATTGCAGAGACCAAACCATCAATGGACACTGATCCACCCTCTGTTCCTTCTCTTTCCTCTTCTCCATCTGTGCAACGCCTTTCTTCACAACGCACCGTTCCTTCGCTACTTGAACACTTTCCTTTGCCACCGCATGTGGACTTTTCTAACCCCTCTAGTCCGTAGGTACCCCTACCTGCGGATTTCAGGTATCTTTATCGTTGCCAATCATGGCCTATTTACAGTGGAATATTCGCGGCCTCGGGTAATCGGGGTGAGCTTCAGATGTTGCTCTCCCAGTTTTCCCCTGTTGGTGTTTGCTTACAGGAACCAAAATTACACTCTGCCATTATCTATCCTATCTCAGGCTATAATTTATTGTATTCTTCAGATCCTTTTCCTGATGGGACCTTTAATGAAAGTGCCCTTCTTTTACGCACTGATATTCCGTACCATCAGCTATTCGTTCGTACCTCGCTGCATTACACAGCAGCCCGTATCCACTTGCATAGGTGGTATACACACTGTTCTTTGTATCTCTCTCCTTCTCGGGCATTATCTATCCCAGATATTGCCTTTCTTGTTTCGTCATTACCGCCACCACTTCTATTGGTGATTTTAATGCCCATCATTTCCTCTGGGGGGGGGTCTCACTGTGATTCCTGTGGCATTCAGT